AGGGGGATGTCCACCCCTTGACTCAGCACCTCCCGCCAAGCCCCGCCCTCACACGTGGGGATTATGACTGGAGGTGAGCTTTGGGTGGGAACAGAGCCTGACCATACCAATGTCTTTCTAAAGAAGGGATTTATCAGCATATGCTGCTTCCGGAGGGCTTGCACTTCTAGAACGGCGTTCCCTTCTGCTGTGCCATCCATATACATACACAGTATGTATACACATGTATGTCTACCAGTTCTACATAAACGCATATACACATAAATGCATGCACAAAAAGAAAAGCGTATATATCTGTGTGTATACATGTGTGTACATATTCCCCCCATATATATATCACTTGACCAATCCTGGTTATCTGTCCCCTTCCTTCTCTTTGGACTGTAAGCCCCTGAGTAGTGACTTCCAGAGCCAGGTAAAGTAGAAAATCAAGTGAAAAGACCTTTACATGAAGAAGTAACGTACATTATAGGAAGGTATTCCTTAGGTATGCTACAGGCTCACAGTTTAAACCATTTGACTGATGCCCCAAAGTAACTGTAATTTAAGGTTGTTGGTACAGCAAATTATGAATAGCTTTGACTGTATGTTTAAAAACCTCACCACATATTCACATGCTTAAATCTGGATATCAGAATTTAAACAATCTTGAAATGTATGAACGTTTCCTTAATATAATGATTACAAAGTATCTCAAAAAAAAAAAAATAGAAAAGGGCAGACGGGCGCAGTGGCTCACACCTGTAATCCCAGCACTTTGGGAGGCTGAGGTGGGTGGATCACCTAAGGTCAGGAGTTCGAGACCAGCCTGACCAATATGGTGAAACCCCATCTTAAAAAAAAAAAAAAAAAAAAAAAGAAAAGAAAAAAGAAAAGGACACATGGGTTGCAGAATAATGCTCAACAGAATTCATTTTGTAGTAAAGGCAAAGAGGAAAAGCCTGAAGCAAATATGTGAAAAGGTAAATAGCAATGATTCCGAGTTGTGGGATTACCAGGTCTTCTAGTTTTCTGCATGTATTCTCCGCATTTTCTGTAAGGACGTGGTAGGCAGGTGGGAGCCTGCACCAGCCACACCCAGCGGTGGCTCCTGCCCTTGCTGATGCCATCTGTCCCTCTAGCTCTTGCTCCACCTGTCTCAGACCACTTGCTCCAGAATCGGCCCCCTCTCCAGCGCAAAAACGTCCTGCTTAGCGGGAGACTTCTGCCTCACTTCCCTGGGCTTTTTTCTTTCATCAGCATGGGTTACCATTTTAGCAGTTTCCCATCTGATGTGAATTCTCAACGATTACAATTCTACCTAAATGCCATTACGC